CAGAAACACTTTTACACCGTTGTTGGAAGTGCAAATTAGTTCAACCATTGTGGAAGACAGTGCGACAATTCGTCAAGGACGTAGAAACAGAAATACCATTTGACCCAGCAATTCCATTACTGGGTATATACCCAAAGAATTATAAATTGTTCTATTATAAAGACATATGCACATGTATGTTCACTGCGGCACTGTTTACAATAGCAAAGACCTGGAACCAACCCAAATGTCCATTATCGATAGAGTGAATAAAGAAAATGTGGCACATATACACCATGGAATACTATGCAGCCATAAAAAACAATGAGTTCGTGTCCTTCATAGGAACATGTGTGAATCTGGAAACGATCATTCTCAGCAAACTGACACAAGAACAGAAAACCAAACACCATATGTTATCACTCATAGGCAGGTGTTGAACAATTAGACACGTGGACACAGGGAGAGGAGCATTACACACTGCGGTCAGTGGGGGGAGTAGGAGAGGAACAGCAGGGGTGGGGAGGGATAATGAGGGAAGAAATACCAGATATAGGTGAAGTGGGGATGAAGGCAGCAAACCACCATGCCACATATGTACCTATGCTACAATCCTGCATGATGTGCACATGTACCCCAGAACCTAAATTACAATTAAAAAAAAAAGAAAAGTAATTAAGATAATTCAATATACATATGCCTTTATAATGCTTTGCTTTACTATGGTTCACAGATACTGTGTTTACAAATTGAAAAAAGCCTACAGATGCCGTTTTTCAAACAGAATTTCTTCATTTTGCATCTCTCTCACATTTCAGTAATTCTTGCAATGTTTCAACCTTTTTCATTATTGTTATATCTATTGTTATAGTGACCTAAGATCAGTGAACTTTGATGTCAATAATGTAGTAACTGTTTTGAGGCACCATGAACCACACCCTTATAAGACAGGGAACTTAATAAAAGTGTGTGTTCTGATTACTCCATAAAGCAGCAGTTCCCCCATTTCTCTCCCTCTCTGTGGGTCTCCCTATTCCATGAGATGCAACAAGACTGAAATTAGGCCATTTAATAACTTTATCATGGCCTTTAAGTATTCAACACATATCTCTCACTTTAAATCAAAAACTAGAAATGATTAAACTTAGGGAGGAAGGCATATCAAAGGCCAAGACAGGCTGAAAGTTGACCTCTTGCACTAAAGTTGACCAAGCTGTAAATGAGAAGGAAAAGTTCTTAAAGGAAATTACAAGTGAACCCATGACTGATAAGAAAGCAGAACAGACTTATTGTTAATATGGAGACAGAGTGGTCTGGATAATCAGTCACAACACTCCCTTAAGCCAAAACCTAATCTAAACCATGGCCTTAAATCTCTTCAAGTGTATGAAAGCAGAGAGAAATCAGAAAACTGCAAGAGAAAAGTTGGAAGCTAGCAGAGGTTGGTTCACGAAGTTAAAAAAATAAAGAAGCCATCTCTATAACATAAAAGCACAAAGTGAAGCCACAAGTGCTGATGTATTATAGAAGCTGCAGCAAGTTATTAATATCTAGAAAATCTAGCTAAGATTATAAAGGCAACTACACTAAACAGATTTTCAATGTAGATAAAACAGTCCAATAGACTTCTATTGGAAGAAGGTGCCATCTAGAACTTCCCATAGCTATAGAGAAGTCAATGCCTGGCTTCAAAGCTTCAAAAGATAGTGTGACTCTCTTGTAAGCGGCTAATGCAGCTGGTAACTTTAAGTGGAAGTCAATGCTAATTTACTGTTCTGAAAAATCCTAGAGTCCTTAAGAACTAAGCTGAATCTACTTTGCCTGTGCTCTACAAATGAAGTAACAAAGCCTACATGATAGCACATCTGTGTTCAGAATGGTTTAATGAAAATTTTATGCCCACTGTTGAGACCTACTGCTCAGAAAAATAAAAAGATTTCTTTCAAAATATTACTGCTCACTGACAACGTACCTGGTCAACCAAGAGCTCTCATGGAAAAATACAGGGAGATTAATGTTTTCATGCCTGCTAACACATATTCATTTTGCAGCCTATGGATCAAGGAGTCTCAGACTTTCAAGAAAGTCTTATTTAAGAAACACATTTTGTAAGGCTATAGTTGCTATGGATAGTGTTTCCTCTGATGGATCTGGGCAAAGTAAATTTAAAACCTTCTGGAAAGGATTCACCATTCTAGATGCCATTAAGAACATTCGTGATTCTTGGGAAGAAATCAAAATATCAACATTAACAAGAGTTGGGAAGAAGCTGATTCCAACCCTCATGGATGATGTGGAGGGTTAAAGACTTCAGAAGTAGTAGTAACTGCAGGTGTGGTAGACTTAGCAAGAGAACTAGAATTAGAAGTAGAGCCTGAAGCTGTGACTGAACTACTACAATTTCATGATAAAACTTGAATGGATGAGAAATTGCTTCTCATATGAAAGAAAGAGCCCATCGATGCAGCAAACTTCATTGTCTTATTTTAAGAAACTGCCACAATCACACCAACCTTCAGCGATCACCATCCTTATCAGCCAGCAGCCATCAACACTAAGGCAAGACCCTTCACTAGCAAACATTATAACTCACTGAAGGCTCAGATAGTAAAGTATTTTTAAGTTAAGGTATGTCCATTTTTAAAAAAAGAAATAATGCTACTGTACCCTAACAGACTACAGTAGAGTGGAAATGTAACTTTTATATGCACAGGGAAAGCAAAAAAATAATTGTGTAACTTGCTTTACTGTGTCATTCACTTCATTGCAGTGGTCTGGAACCTAACCTGCAATATCTCCAAGAGATGCCTACAACCCTGCACAATCCAAAAGATGAGAGTGGAGAGATTTTTTTAAAATGAGATAATACAAAAAGAAAGGAGCAGAAAAAGACAGAGGGAGAAAGGTAGCAATTTCAAGTTGAAACTTTACAACTACCTTATTAAACTTTATCCTTCCCTTATCTCACAAAAGAAAATTTTTCTTTCTATAGCAAATAAGATAAGCTCAGCAAAGGAAGGTTTTCAGTACAATCTCTACACATTTGAGTACAACTTTCCTGTCCCTAGGTGATTACTTTTGCCCATTATCACTGGATCCTGCAATGACAAAGAGGAAGCAGCAATTATTGGTTCCAAAATCACCTCTAATAAAATGAAATGTAAATACAGTGATGTTTCTAGACAAATAAAAAGTCTATTAGAGAAATACAGCCTTACACTTTCTTAAAGTACAGACAATACTTAAAGATCATATTAAGTAATATACTAAAAATACTGAAAGTAGTTTTTGTATCCTCCATTATAAGCAGCTTGACAGAGATTCTTTTGATTCCCTAGATCTTCCTGTTTAGCAGGATGGAAATTCTTGTCCTTCTCTGCTATGTTTTTAGTAGAGCAGAAGCCAAAAAACTCTGCACTGTTTACTTCCTTATTTGTCCAACAAATCATCATCAGTGAGGTCAGAAGCAAACTGAACAACCCTGAAAGGAATGTTTATTAACTAAGGTTCCAGGCCAGTTTAGGAGAGCCCATAGTATTAATAGTGCAAAAACTATGACGTAGCTGAAGTTTCAAGAAGCAACAACTACCAATTTCTCTAAACTTGGTTCCTTTCTAGAGCCAATCAGCTAATCTTAACCGAGTATGTCACTAAAAACAGCTTTAAAATATAACTGTTTTTAGCCTATTAATTGTATAGAGTTGCCTGTGGCTGTTGTTTCGCTTTCCCTTAATATCAAAGGCCTTAATGATAAATACTTGAAAAAAAAACAAAAAAGCCCTAAAATTACCTATTCCTCCCTCATCCTATGAGGTTAAAAAAACATACAGAATTCACTCCTAGAAATGGCATACATACATACACAGTTTTACTGGTAGCATTTTAAAGGTTTGGTAAGAGATTAGTTATCATACATGTTTTATTTGTTTATACTCCAAAATAATACTCAATTTGAAACATACCAATCATTTGTTAGCAAGTATCATCATCAATCAAGTAAGCGATAACAATGCACAAGGTTTAGAAGCAGATCTGTCATATTTTAAAAAGTGGAGCTCAAAGCAATTCATTTTAAGTTAACTTTAACTCAAAGAAGGCAGTATGGGTCTGGTTTTTTTTAAGTTACCCAATATCTGATAAACATGAGTACCTAATAATAGACGGTAACAGTGCTAAAATGAAAATAATGAAAGGAAACCACTGAAAAATCTATTGTTTCTTATTTCTTTCTACAAAGGATGCACCAACTTCAATTCTTCAAGTTTTATATTGTGCAACTATTCTGTTCTTTGTCACTATGTAAGTTACTGTGAAGATTTAAAAAAAAAAAAAGTCATACTATAAGCAACAGAGGCCCTTTTTATTTTAAATAACAAAACACACCAGACTTTAAATATTCAAATGTTACCCTCCAAAGCTACTACCCTAGGAAATTAATGTACATGTTCAAATATCCACATTTCCAGATTACAAGCCACACAAGAAAATTGGCAATTATATGGCATTTACACCACAAGGAAGTTGTTTCCAATACAATTCTCTTTGTTCATTGTATATAATTACTTAGTGATAACATTTTTAATTATCTAGCCCTGCTTCTCAAAGTTACACTGTTAATGAATATTGGCTATCAGTATCAAAATAGTATTTCTAATATGATTTAATGCTAGTTAATGTCATCATTTGTAAGTGCATGGTTCCCAAGATGACAACTTATATTTATATGTGAGTTCAACTACATTTCATTTTTTAGTCTCATTACACTATGGATCTATCTTACATGAAAGAATGTCCCTAACATTTCATTTTTTAGTCTCATTACACTATGGATCTATCTTACATGAAAGAAATCCCTAATCCAAAAAGCTAACAATCTTTAACTGAGTTAAAAAAAAAAAAAAGAAAAAAGAAAGAAAAGAAAAAAAATTAGAGTAATAACTGGCATAAGCCTATATTCTTTTTGAGAAACAATTTCCTGTATATACTTGAAATTAACCTAATAACCAATCTAAGTATCATACCATTTACAGCTTTTTCAATCAACTCTTCGCAAGCATCAAAATCACCCTTCAACACCAGCTTGTCATGAATATCTGTTAACATGGGATGTTCCAGGGCAATCTTGGTTTTCTTTTGTAGTGACTCAAAAGCTTCTGTATAGTTGTGTTGTCTAAAGTGTTTTAGGCAAAGGCGAATAGCTTCCTGTTCACGGTACTACTAGAACACAAGAGTAAGTATGGAAAAAAGAGATTTGGTTAGATGATACTGTAGGAAATAATAACAGCAGTAAAAATAACTAATCTACACTGAGCATTTATTAATACTATGTGCCAGGCAGTGTACTAACCTGATTCATTATTTATCATTATTTGGCTCATTTAACGAGCAAAACTAAGGCTTGGCCTGTTGCAATAACTTGCCCAAGGTCACAAAGTATGTAGCCAAAAGTGATTAAACCAAACCTAATTCCAGAGCCTCAACTTTGAAGAAAAGAAGCAGAATATCTATTTCTTAAACTCCACTTAAGATGGTAAAAATTATAACTCCTAGAGCATCTATTAATCCCATTACAATGCAGGTACTGAGAGCACACAAAAAAATTAAATAATCCACATAAATCATATTATGATTTCTACTTTTGGTTTTTTTAAAAAAAAACTCGCCTGTAATCCCAGCACTTTGGGAGGCCAAGGCGGGTGGATCACAAGGTCAAGAGATCGAGACCATCCTGGTCAACATGGTGAAATCCCGTCTCTACTAAAAATACAAAAATCAGGTGGGCAAGGTGGAGCGTGCCTGTAGTCCCAGCTACTTGGGAGGCTGAGGCAGGAGAATTGCTTGAACCCAGGAGGCGGAGGTTGCGGTGAGCCAAGATCGCGCCATTGCACTCCAGCCTGGGTAACAAGAGGAAAAATCTTCGTCTCAAAAAAAAAAAAACCAAAAACCAAAAACAAACTATTACTTGAATGACAAGTATTAACAAGTATACAGGTATTTCAAATTTACAAACGGGTATTACGACTCAAAAATCATCAAAAAGAGACTAAATTTAATCATCTCCTTTGGTTTGGTGTTTTTTTCTTTTTTTTTTTTGAGACAGGGTCTTGCTCTATCTCCCAGGCTGGAGTGCAGTGGCGCAATCTCAGCTCACTGCAGCCTCCACCTACCTCTGGGGTTCAAGCAATTCTTCTACCTCAGCCTCCTGAGTAGCTGAGGTTACAGGCACGCCTTACCATGCCCAGCTTTTTGTATTTTTAGTAGACATGGGGTTTTACCATGTTGGTCGGAAGAGTCTCAAACTCTAGACCTCATGATCCACCTGCTGAGGCCTCCCAAAGTGCTGGGATTACAGGCATGAGCCATTGCACCCAGCTCAATTTAACTGTTTTCTAAACCTGAACTACCTTATCTATTAAGCAGCTATAAATTAGACAACATCTCAATTAACTGGAATCCAAAAGGTAGGCACTTAATTTATCAAAATTTTCCCCTAATAGGATAGATGCCAAAAATACAATCTTATAAAAAGGATTTTTTTTTAAAATCTCAACTTCAGAAATATGTTCTGGGATTACCTCAAAAATTCTAAGTATACCACTATACAAACAGATGACATGGAAACCTACATGATAATCAAACAACAACAATTTATTTATAAGCATTATTACCCTTTAATAAGGCAAGAAAATACAGTAATGAGTTTAGGAAGATGTATAAGATTTGAAACACAGTTCAGTGATTCTATAGCTATTTTTACATGAATAGTTTCTTACCCTTGGCCTCTAAAGAAGATTTAGCTACATAACTACTATGTAACAACATATACTATAGTTACATTAAACAGCAGTATCTTTTAACCCTGTTGATTACTTTAGGAGTTTAAATCACATCCACATCTTAAATTTTCCATTAGGGTGCAAAACTATCCATCAAAAACTACATTTTAAGTATTTATATCAATACAAGCAAAAAAACAAAATTCAGAGTCAAATGGAAATAATAATATAAAAGCAGACTGTGGAGTCCAATTGCCTGAGTTCATATTGGCTCATACGCTTTACAACTGTGTGACCCTAGGCAAACTATTTAATCTCTCTGTGCTTCATTTCTTCACCTATAAACTAATGAGGATAATCACTGTACCTGTCTCATAGGGTGATAATGACTAAATGAGTGATGAGGATTGCTTAAAAGCTGGCAGACTGGAAGTGCTTAATTAAACGTTAGTTTATTATTATTGTTTTAAATATTTTTAATTATTCTCAAGGAAGACAAGAGATTGACACCACTCTCCTTTTATAGGCATTAAAGTCAGGATTTAAAATACAGTCCTACCTTGCTATACCAGTTGAGACAGGGCTGTACTACATCAGGATCATCAATGCCACTAAGTTCAACATACCAGATGCTAAAGTTAAAGCTGGGTCCCCAGGATAAGAGTGGAACTTTAAGAAGAAAAAAACAAAAAGAAGAAGAAAAATATTAACACAGTTCAAATAAAACTTCAGCAAAGTAAAATCACTATTCAACCTTATAAGGATTCACTGAATACATTTTCTGGGCATCTTTTACATGACTAACATGGTGCTAAGGCTAAAACAGTAAAACAAAACAGATGACCTACGCCAACATAAGATTTCCTTAGTTAATAAAAACACTGTAAGATAAATTCAAAATGTTCCTATGTCTACTCCCAAATAAATGCCACTAGAATTAGATGATTTAACAGGTAAATTTTACCAAACGTACAAGCAGCAAAAAATTACTTTAGAATTTAGCCTACACCAGAACACTGAAAGAGACTGAAAGTTCAATTATTTATCAGTGGCATAACCCTAAATCCAGTGAAGAAGAAAAAAGACTTAAGGCCAATCTCAGCTATTAATACATACTGTAATCACAAATTAAAGGGGGAAAAGTTGCAAAAAGTTCAATCAGATTTTCACTGCAATCAAACAGATCTCATTCCAGGAATGGAAAAATGGTGGTTCAAGAAATAATAGAAGCTATATTAATGTAATTTACCACCTTGACAAAATAAAAGATAAAACACATTTGATGACTTTAATACATTTTTTTAAAACTCAATATATAAAAAATATAAGGTAATAGGAAATCTCCTTACCTAGATTTTTTAAAAAGCATGAAAAACCTTAAAAATTAAACCTAATGGAGAAAATACTAAGTATTCCCACTCAAGTCAGAACAAGACAAAGAGGTCCAATATCTCTACTATTCGACATTAATCAGAGATCTCAGGCAGTGCAATAAGAAAAAAAAACAAACAAGAAAAGCAAATTGTAATTTAAAAATGACCTATCTAAAAAAATTCAAGAGGGCCGGGAGCAGTAGCTCATGCCTGTAATCCCAGCATTTTGAGAGACCAAGGCAGGAGGATCACTTGAGGCCAGGAATTCAAAACTAGCCTAGCCAACACAGTGAAACTCCGTCTCTACTAAAAATAGAAAAAAAATGGCAGGGATGGTAGTGCGTGCCTGTAATCCCAGCTACTCAGGAGGCTGTGGCAAGAGAATTGCTTGAACCCAGAAGGCGGAGGCTGCAGTGAGCCACGATCATGCCATTGCACCCTAGCCTGGGCAGCAGAATAAGACTGTCTCAAAGGGGGAAAAAAAACAGAGATTCAGGCCGAGCATGGTGGCTCACACCTGTAATCCCAGCACTTTGGGAGGCTGAGGTGGGTGGATCACAAGGTCAAGAGATCGAGACCATCTAGGCCAACATGGTGAAACCCCGTCTCTACTAAAAAATACAAAAATTAACTGAACGTGGTGGCATGAGCCTGTAATCCCAGCTACTCGGGAGGTTGAGGCAGGAGAATTGCTTGAACGCACGAGGCGGAGGTTGCAGTGAGCAGAGGTCGCATCACTGCACTCCATCTTGGCGCCTGATGACAGAGTGAGACTCTGTCTCAAAAAAGAAAAAAAAAAAAGAGATTCAATTGAAAAAAAAATTTTTTTAAGTTTGTAAACAAGGTAAACACACAAAAATCAACTCTTCCTATACCTACAATAACCAATTAGAAAATACAACTCAAAAAAATCCTATTTATAAAGGAAAAAAAGCTGAAAATGTCTCAGTAAAATATGCAATATTTAGAAGATAAAATTTTAGTGAATAATTGACTAAATGAAAGAACATACTATGTTTGTATATAGGAAAACTCAATGTTGTAAACATGTAGTTTTCTTCAATTAATTATAAATTTTACATCATGTCAATCAAAATCCCAATGGCATATATTCTTTCTGGAGGTCCCATGTAGTCAAAACTGTATTTTTAAAATAACAACGCTAGTTATTTTTCAACATAACTATTTTTCATAACATAATAAATGTTTTCTAGCCTTTTAATAATATCAATATTGCAGTAACAGTAAAAAAGCAATGGTCGGTAAAACTTTTAGCACCTTGGTACCTAACTAATGGCACCAAAAAGTACTAGTAGCGCTCAGTAAGTACAAATTGCACTGTACTCCCCACCACCAAACACTGGCGTAATTTAAAAAGAGAAAGAGAGAGAGAGAGAGAGAGAGAGAGAGAGAGAGAGAGAGAGAGAGAACTGATTTTTACTAAAGGCAGAGAAAAACTTAATTTTATTAAACTTCCCATCATTAAGTACACATCTGTCCAATATCCTTTGTGACAAAATGAGAATTCCATATGAAGCATTTTTTGTGATGTACCAATACATAATGGTTATCTCAAGGAGGGGAATTTGTACAATTATTTAAGTGTGAGTTTAAAAAACAACTTATTTTTCATGAGATGCCATTTTATTCTTAAAAGAAAAGCTAACAAGATATGATTATTTAGATTTGCATATTTGCCAAACATTTACATGTCATTTCAAGGAAAATAATTAATGATATTTGCTGTCAAGGATAAAAATCAAGCTTTCAAGAGAAAAAAATAGAATTTTGGAAGATAAGTACCCACCACTATGAGCTTAACTGATTCTCAACACTTAGATTTTTTAAATGAAATTGGATGCAGTATCAATAAAAGTGATTTTAAAAATACTATATAATGAAGTGTTTCAACATCTGGGAGACCTGTATAATTCGGTGGACGAGTTTTTCTAAATGATCAATGAATGTTACAAAATCACACGTGGGTAAAAAGTCCAAGATAGACCAATGAATTTTAATGTAACAACAGATTCACTGATACAGTTTCACAATCAATAATGCAACTATCTTTAGGAAGCTAACATTTGTACAGTTTTGATGAAGCATCAAAACAGAATATCCACAATAGCTGATACCAGGCTTAATGATTTCCAATATCCGACTGAATAAAGAAGATATATTGGGTCCGATACTTTTTTGTCATCTAAATCAGGGGTCCCAAATCCCTACACCCAAACCTGTAACAGTCCATGGCCTGTTAGGAACCAGGCTGCATGGCAGGAGGCAAGCAGCGGGTGAGGGAGCATTATCGCCTGAGCTCTGCCTCCTGTCAGATCAGCGTTGGCATTAGATTCTCAAAGGAGCAGAAATGCTACTGTGAACTGCGCATCCAAGGGATCTAGGCTGCACACTCCTTATGAGAATCTAATCCTTGATATATGAGATGGAAAAGTGTCATCCCAAAACCATCTCTCTCCCACACCCTGCCCCCACTTCAGGGTCCATAGAAAAACTGTCTTCCACAAAACTGGTCACTGGTGCCAAAAAGGTTGGGGACTACTGATCTAAAGGAAGCTGTGTGAATAAAAACACAGGCAGTAGCAACCAGCTACGAGGATGTACAAAGGACTTCTGGGATATTTAATATGACTTTCAGTTTATGTATGTAAACAACACACATTTCAGAAAGTTTTTTTAATAACAAGTATTAAATGATCATTATTGTTTTAGTGTGTATTTATGTAGCAGCATCATTTAAAAGTTTATCTACTAAATCATAAAGTAATAATCATCAAGTAGTGTAAGAGTCAAAGTAAAATATGATTCTAAACTCAAAAAGCACCAAGAATATAGTCTATATGTGTAACCAGACATAAAATATTAGAGATTTCCAGGTCCAAGTCTCACTAAGAATTTATTTATTGGTCTTGGTACAGTGGCTGTGTCTGTAATCCCAACACTTTGGGAATCTGAAGCAAGACAATCATTTGAGCTCAGGAATTCAAGACCAGCCTGGCAACATAGTGAGACCCTATCTCTACAAAAAAATTAAAAATTAGCTGGGCATGATAGTATGTGCCTATATTTCTCTCTAATTGGGAGGCTAGACAGAAGGATCACTTGAGCCCAGGAGTTCAATGTTACAGTGAGCTATGATCGCACTGCTAAATTCTAGCCTGAGAGATAGAGTAAGATCCTGTCTCTTAAAAAACAAAACAAAAATTTTTTAAACATTTGCAGCGAAATTTATTCTGCTACCCAATGGTCCAATAAAAATATTTCTAGAATAAAATTAGTTACAATTTTTAATACCTTTAAAGAATACCTTTAGAGGAAGGAGGTAAATTATGAAGTCATCTCACCAAAGGGCATCATATATTAGAGATTAACAAACAATTAATTTTCAACAGACTAAAATGGTATGTAAAAAATGAGCAGAATGATGTACACTCACTTCAAATTCCAGTGATTTCTGATAGCATTAACAACACTAATAATGCGTATTAGACATACTATATATAAGAAATCTAAAAGTGAATTAAAGCCCCAGGCACATGTTCTCTGTTCCCTGATAAAAGATGGCTCCCTCCTCAAAAAAAAGAATTAGAAACTCCTAATACATATCCCAAGGCTAGCAGTTTGTATTCTAGGATTCTGCCACCAGTTTTCTCCATAAGACAATCAGACATGAAAATAATCAACATCCCTGTGTGTCACCTTTTCTAAAATGGCCAGCCTGGGCAAGACAGCAATACTCAGTTTCTACAAAAAAATTGTTTTTAAAATTAGCCAGATGTGGTGATGTATACTGTACGCCTAGCTACTATGGAGGCTGAGGCACGAAGATAATCTTTACCCAGGAACTGGAGGTTGCAGTGAGCTATGACTGTGCCACCTGAGCAACTGAGCAAGACCCTGACTCTTAAAAAAAAAAGAAAAAAGGTTCAGAGATCCTAAAAATTCAAGATTATTCTGAAAGACTGTATCTACTATTCTACTACAGATTTAATGACATTAAGTATACTTAGCACAGTAACTGGCACATACTAAGTGTTCTATAAATGTTAACTGTTATTATCTCTTATTACTATATTAATTTTTCTCTTAATAGTATACTTTAAAATGTCGCTTTCCCACATGCTCTCCTAAAGGGCTCCCTGGACTTAATACCCAGACTGCATGCTCAGAATGCACACTGCATCCTGCCAGAGCTAAAGCTGCTCTCTGAAGTCCTCACAATCATCCAGGCTGCAGCTGACTCCTTTACAAAAATCCACATCTCTTCATTTACCAAAA